CTATGGAGCTCTGAGGATACTTAGAGTGATACCACCCCCCCCTGTATAAGTCGCTGGTTCGGCCCCATCTGGGGTATGCGGTGCAGTTCTGGTCTCCGACTCTCAGGAGGGACGTCCTGGAACAGGAGAGAGTCCAGAGAAGGGGCGGAGCTACGAGGACGCCTCCAACAATTAGACTTATTCACCTTAGAACAGAGGCGATGAGGAGGGGACCTTATTCCAGTCTTCAAAATCATCAACAGGGACCCCAATATTAGGAACAAACTCTTCAATCCCAAAACTGTATTGAGAACCCGGAGACACAACCAGAGGGTAGAAGGGTGAGAGTGGTAAAAATGTGGAATTCCCTCCCACAGGACGCGGTATCCTCTGATAGTGATTATAAATGAAAGAAACTTCTCCATGAGTTTCTTTTTCTTAAAGGAGAACTATGAGGGGGGGAGGGGGAGGGGCTTTTCACTCACCTCATAGTTCTAGCCGACGTGTGACAATGGGACTGTCACAGGTCGGCTCAGTAGATCGGGAGGTGAGCGAACACATACCGGCGCTCGCTCACTTCTCGATCCTGTCACGGCTCTCTGCCGTGACAGGGGGAACGTCGGGATCCGCTCCGGCGTCTCAGTATACCGCGAGCTGTAGCTCCCTATATACTGAGCTGTGGGTGACGGGAGGACGCTAGTTTGTGACCTCCCGTTACCCTAAGGAGAACTATGGGGAAAGCCCTGACCCCGTACTTCTCCTTTAATATACAAAGATACGGGACGTGTTAGAGCCAGATACACACATACACATACATACATACACACACACATACAGTATCTTCCAGACGTGAGTCCAGCCCTCTCATTGGATGATATGATGTCATGTGACGACACAGAAGAAATGACACGTTGCTACAATGTAACGTAGTGAGTGTACAGCATGTATATCAGTGTACATCTGCTGTCCCCAACACGCAGCCACTAATGTCTAAACCGCTGGCAACAAAAGTAAGTACACCCCTAAGTGACAATGTCCAAATTGGGCCCAATTAGTCATTTTCCCTCCCCCGGTGTCATGTGACTGGTCAGTGTTACGAGGTCTCCGGTGTGTTACATTTGGTGTTCTCGCTCTCTCATACTGGTCACTGGATGTACAACATGGCGCCTCAGAACCGGCCTAGTCACGTTGCACGCGCCCAGCGTCATATCCAGAGGTTGTCTATGCGAAATAGACGTATGAGTGCAGAGGTTGTAGGGGGGGGTGTCAGCCTTCAGAGGTTGTA